CACACACACACACACACACACACACACACACACACACACACACACACACACACACCAGGGCTTATATTTAGGTAGACACATACGTATGACCACACTTGTTAAAATATCTTGTGTTAGTGGGTAAATAGTTGTTGTCTTAAGTGTCCCGAATGTCTCCCCATCTGCATCCCCTTTAAGATTGCTCGCACTACCATTCACCTATAGGGTAAATGGCTGGCCCAGCTCGGGCCCTCCATGCTGTTCCGGCATCAAGGCACCAATTCTGATGGGTTGGATAGCCCCATCCTACAGATTGTTAGATATTTTGAGGATCACTCCTGATTTAACCAGAGAAATTACAGTATGATTATTTATTTCACAGAAACTTTTTCACTTCTCTAAAAGACCATCAAAGAATTCCTCTAAAGAACCTTTAGAAAATGTCTGTACTTAAATGCAGACCTTTTCAGCAAAACTTCTGGATGAATTAAGCAAGACCCTTATTTGATTAGCATTCTGAGCACTATAAATGTTGGATGAATTATCTAAATAATTACCTTACTGCTCCTCTTCCCCTTGGCTATGGTAACTTAGATTTATTTATGAGTCAGAAACAGAAACACTAAACTGCTCAGTATGGAAAAGTCAAGTTTCCTCACTAACTTCTTATTCACAGATGGGCACAAATCTGCATAGTTAAGAATGGTTTTTTGTCAGGGAAAAGTCTTCCTCTTCTGTTAAAGCTTCTTTGGACACTATTTGTACAACACAAGGGCAAATAGTACAGTTTGTCACATCTAAAAGATATTTGAAATAAGTGAACTTACTCTTGTGGTCTTAATTTTGTTGCCCGTAGCACACATCCATCCAGAATTATCAGGGAGTGTCTTACATTCTTCCCCTTCTAGGCAAGGCTCCATCTCACACCACCATTTCCCAATGACTATGGAGGCTGTGTAGAAACAAGAAATAATTGTGTTTGCAATTCATCCAAACCAGCTGGGCACGGACACTGTCTCTCTCTCTGCAGATTTTAATTCTCTTTGAAGCATGCTAGGTTCTCTTTAATCTTCCACGACTGGCTGAGAAAATTTTATTAAGAAAAAAATATTTTTAATTTATAAATCTCATTATGCAAATATAAGTATGTTGTCTGGCTTCATCAAGCAGCATCTTGTCCAAAATCTCCTTGTCTTATGAAGACATGAAATGGAAAAGACATACTTTTTTGCGTCTTGAGGAACTTTTGTGTTGTCAGTTTTTGTAGATCATGGACCTTACACCATTGCTTTTCATTCAGTGAAGGGAACAAAAGAGCTAAATACTCTTCAGAATAACAGAGGCATTCTTTTCAGAAAGGCCAGTTTATCCACCCAGAATTATGGTTTATCCCCTAGCCTAGGGACTTGGAGAATTTCAAAGGCCTAGCAAAAGAAAAAACAAAATCACTGAAAGTACAAAAGAAAAGTTGCAAAAAACATCATGAGCAATAATAAATGAAATCTTTCTTTACAGTCAAAAGTATAGTTGATATTTTTGTGGTTTCCTTTTAATATGTTTGATATGATGTGGCTGGAACTATCACAAGTCGAGCGTCTGATAAACCAGCCCTACTTTTCAGGGTGCTATTAAAGATGACCACAATAGGAACCTGGCAATGAATTTAGTATATGTATTTATAACACACTTTTTTTGATAATAAGATTTTATAAAACCACTTTTGATAATGAGATTTTTATAACAACCAGAAACTAGATTTTTTTCAATGCAGATCAAAAAGCTCCACACCTTCCCCAATGCCCTGAGTGGAAAATTATTTCTGTGCAAGCATTTGTCATTTCTAATAATTAGTAGCTCCTCGAGGCATTAGCTCTTCACAAAGCCACTTGGGTTTTTTCCATTCAAAATCCTCAAAACATCAGCCAGTGTTTGTTTTGTGATACTTGCTGGGTTGGCTGCATTTTCCATTGGACCAGGATGCCAGTTCTTTAGATACTCACCTCTCAATCCCTCACATCCTAAAGATGAGTCTCCACCATGATGTTTAAGTCTCACAACAACAAAGATGCCAAATGACATCTGTTATCGTCACAGAAGATTACGGTTAAAATGGGATGGAGTAAACCCTGCAGTGAAGCAAGGGCACATTAAAATTCTCTATTCATCCAACATTCACTGGAGGGATTAAATTGCTAACTT